CAGCTCTCCTCTTGAAATATCTACTTAATATTTCTCTCCTTTATTGCTGCCTTTTCCTACAGTGGCAATCTTAACTGTATATCACTTTTTCGCACTGGAGTGACAACCAGAAATGCTTGAGAAAAATAATACTCTATTTTCTTACTTCTCTGAGGGGGGCAAAAAGTCGCAGAAAGGGTCTCCCTTTTATACTCCTTGGGTCGCCTTCCTTTTTCATGCTCTACCTCCTATTTACAGGATTTATTTACAGTGTATTTTTCTCAAACTGAATAAAAAATGAAATTTTCACGCTATAGTTCTACTGCGCTGAACTGCGGCTCTACTGTGGTCAGACTGCACCTAGAATCCTTATCGTCCTTCCTTGCCTAAGCTATTTTAATGGTTAATTAAAACTTGACTGTGCTGCATTTGTCGCAGTTTCCTATTTCAAATTCCTCATATTTACCATTAAATTTGCTATGACTCGGTGATTCTGAATTCAAACTTCGCATTACTATGTGTGCGGCTGCGCTGAGACCTTCAGCTGATTTATTCCATTTTTATTCAGTGACATTTAGTTAAAATGAGACTTGAAATGGTAAATGAGTGAATTATTCAGGTTTAAAACCGAAAGAAAAAGTTGCTAGTAGTCAAGAATTACTCAAATGAATGTACTATAGCTCTCCACTTCATTAGAATATTGTTCCCTAAAATTCCCACCATGGTCTGTCATAGTTTAGTGGTTTTCGTGGTTTTCGTTCATCTTCCCTGATTCCCCTTTGTATTATCACATCCTAATCCTCCATATGTATTGTTTGTTGTTATAGTAGGTCGTCCTCGAAGATATCATATTTTTATGTATTTTATTTAGGGCTCTGGACCTCTTGAAGCTGTCTTCCCATGCGTTATCAGGTTTCTAACTTCATGTCCTTGTATCTCATTCATTTCTGGATGGTTTCTCACGTTCTTGGTATTATAAATTTCCATTTATTCCCACCTTTCCAATGGTACTAAAGTTGTGTTCTATTTCCTGGTATTCGTCAAATTAGCAAAAGTTCGCGCGCACATTTGGTAATCACGTGCATCGTTCCCATAGTCGTTCGTATGTGGGTGCTGTTTCTGTTTAATTGTTCAGGATTTATGGTATGCATGGGTGTTTATATCCTTCATATGGGCTTCTGTGATTTATTTCAGATTTTTCCCTCATGATCTAAGGTTGTTTTGCACTTTCCATGCTTTGTTTTGACTGGGCTTTTCCTTATTTGGATGGAAATTGGTCTTCGCGATCTGCCAAAGTGCAGATCTCAGTTCCGACAGCCGGTTCCCTTCGCATTGCCACCCTCACGTGTCATTAAACATGATGCGGATTTCTATATTCCTGTCATTGGTATAACTTTACAACGGCTGGTCCGTTTGGGCTGAAAATTTGCATAACTATAGTTTCCTATTTTTCATAATTTCCGTGTAAATTTCGTTGTATGTTTTAATTATGGATCCTACGTAAACATCGTTTTTTTCCCTGAGCTCGGACTTTGATGTCGCTATTCCCGTTATTGGATATCCCATTAATGCGTGATCCTTTTATTATGAAAATTTGGGTGGATTAAGATTAGATCGCTTCCTTTCTAATGAGCTATCAAGCTCGTCTCGGTCGTTACTAGTTATTCTTCACGCTTGCTTTTTAAGTGTTGTCCTTGTTTTGTGGGAGTTTTAGTCATATCTCCGTTGTTTATGGGTAGTTTTCCCTGTAATTACTTTCATTGGGTCCGTTTGGGGGACATCTACATTTCCTATTATAAACACGACTTTGAATTTTGCATTAGTTCCTGAGGAATCCTTGTTCTGCGGTACTTCCATCCTTGGCTACGTGTGCGGGCGTGGGAAAGTAGTTTCTGTGGAGGTTCTCTGATTGTTTTTATAGTCAAATCTTGGTCGATTGTCCTAATTCTTTGTTTAATATTTGCTATAAATTCCCCCAAGAATTCCGTCTTGTTGATGCTAAGCTTGAAGTATTTTTGCTAATTTTCTTTCTTTCAATTTATCGCGTATAATCATAATAATTCATAAAAGATTCGTTAAAATTCATTAAAGTTCAGGTCCTTCTATTTTCTCATATCTACTTGTCGTATGGGGTTTTGTGATTTATCTGGCATATTTCCATAGTGTGTCCATTATTTCTCCTACAGCATTCAAAGACAGAAAAATGGAACTTAAAAGATTCCTGGTCATCTCCTGGATGCAGATGAAACGCAAATGGCTTAGGTCGACCTGCTCATATCATTCAGAAGGTGTGGGCATACCCAAGGTGACAGGACTAAGCGCATGAACCTTGAGGAATCCAGGTGCCTGTCATATCCGTACAAACCCAAACCCGCTCCGACTCCCAGACCCTCCACTTCACCACCTCCAGAGTCCTACCCTATCCCTGTCCACTCCGAAATTCACCTTCGGACCGAACATCACCCCTCTTGCCACCCTCCTCCTCACTCCTCACCTCACCTCCACCCTTCCGTCCCTCTCCTACCCTACCTCTGTCCGCTCCGATACTCACCTTCAGACCTGACACCATTCCTCCTCCACTCCTCTCCCCACTCTTCTCATCACTCTCCTCCCTCCTCCCCTCTTCTGCCAAACCTCCACCAAAGTTACAACCTTCCGCTGCCATCCCGTACCTTGTACTTGGACACTGCCTGTACCTTCACTCTGAGACTCCATCATGGTCCTGACCTCAGACTTTGACTCCACCTCGGCCTAAGTCCATTGCATTGGTGACCTCATACTATGTAAACACCATTGCCAACATTCCTCGGACTTTCAACCCCACCTTGTCAGGGACCGACCCGGGGTCGAGAGCGCCCGGGTGTATCGCCCGAGGCTGAGGGTCCGGTAGGTATGACGCGGGCGTGCGTAGCAGCGGGCCCGAAGCAGACAAGGGTCCCTGGCCACTAAGACTAAAGTGGGAAATGTGTTATTGTCATTATCAAGGGAAGTGTAAGCTACTTGCCTAAAGTGGGAAATGTGAGAAGAAGGTTGCTTCTCAGTTCCCACTTAGGCTGTGTTTATATACATGTGGTTGAAGGCCACGTGGGAAGCGCCACGTCATCCGAGCGCACAGCCACCTCCGTCTGGGTACCTCCGTAAGAGGTCCTAGGAGCGTCCGGTGTGCGGGGGGTCGTCCGGTGTGTCCGGGTTCGGGTGCGTTACACTGCAGCCGGGTCAATGGTACATTGATACAAAGGAAGTCGTCCGTGTGATAAGAAAGGAATAAAGAGGAGAGAGAATAGAGAAGAAGGAGAGGAAGGAAGGGAAGGGAGAAAAGGGGAAGAGGGGGGAGGTCAGGAGGAGTGGATGGTGGGGCACCGGGTTAGGTGGGGCCGGGTCAGGCGGGCGTGCCCTGACACACCTCCATAACCTCCATAAGCTCTGCAACCTCCAAGCTCCACGGATCATACTCAGCACTTTTGCCGCTTGTAATGTATCTTTCACGTTTTCCCCTCATCCTTATTTGGACTGCTGCTTCTCTCCATTTTAGCCAGTTAGTCATCACCCCCACCTCACCTCATCCTCCTGCCCCTCTGGGCTTTGCCCTCCCTATCTCCTTTCGGATGTACCACAGGTTCTAACCTATGACCTTTGGTGCCGATCCGCTTCCGTCATCCCATTGTCCCCGTTCGGACGCCTTTGTTCTGATTCAGATCCCCTTTGTTTCCTTGTGCTTTTGCCTCTCTCCATTATATACAGGCACTTGTACATACTTGTTTTAGGCCCTTAGTCTACAATTGACCAGAAATGCCCCCTAGAGACTTCCTGCTCACTGCCTCTGAAATTAAGGACCAAATGGACAAACAGCAATGGCACAGCGCTCTGCATGAGTCGCTGAGGCCAAGGTCCCTCCTTGCTAAGTCTCCGGTTCCCCTCCAGAATCATCTGCCCTTGTCCAGTTCTAACAGTCCCTTCATCTACAGTGAGGTAAAGACATTCTCCAAGACTGAAAAAGGAATAACTCTTTGACTCGGGATAGAGGGAAAATTTCCACTAATCATCATCGAAAAGCAGTAATGTAAGCAGGCATAATGTGGTATTTCATTCAAACCTGTACTTGCTGATTTTTAGCAGCAGATGGATTGTCTGGTCTAACCCTAACAGCTGACTTTCCAGTTGCTGGGTTGGGTGAGTCTAGTGCACTACAGATTCGGTACTACAAATCATAGGCATTGTGAATGATGTCATGTAAGAGTGTGTCAGTGTTGAGATCACTCTAATAATTTGCGAGGGAAAAATTAATTTGTAGACTGACAACACCTGCTTCCAGGCTTGTAGTGAATGGAGACATTGTTTGCAATTTGGAGAAATAGCCTTGTATACAGGTGGAGAGCACACTGTAGTAAGCTAACTCAGGAGTAGAGTCATGAAGAGAAGAGGTTAGCTGGGGCTTGAAAAGCCAGAGTCAAATTAAAAGCTCTCCATGATGATCAATCTAGGGGAGCGAATGATCGCCATATCGGGGTGATCAGTCACTACCAATGGAATCTTCGGCTTGCATATAAGACGAAATGTCGGACTAGCAATGTTGTCGCTCAGTCCCATTGTATGTGAACTAGAAATATATTGAACAGTAATCACCTAGCGATGTTGTCGCTGGTGTACGAATATTAGATACACATTTTATGAAAGGTGAACAAGATCTAACCAACACACCTCAGTCCCATGGTATGTGAACTGAGGAAAGGTTGGGTTGCTGTTGGAATACAAGTCACATGCATCAGCAAACCTCCAATGTCAATAGCTGTGATATATATCATTTCTATTCACTGTTTCGCACAATCAATTCTAGAGCGCCCCCTGATATCTAGAGGCCTCTTTGATTCAATTTGAGCATAGATTGTGCTGATTTCAGTGATATCAAGATGCATCTCATGAATTAGTGTCACAATCAGCTCAAGTGTGAATAGAAAGCAGTCGTGGCAAGCACTGGAATCAATGGGTGTTTATTGTTGCGTAATATAGGACAATGAATAGAGCTAATCGGTGTCCAAAATGACAAAAGTACTCTCCATGTTGGTAAATCTGAGCTTTGCACTAAAGATAAATAGTAAAATTAAGACTCAAAACTATCAAGAAAAAGTATCATTGATGCACAGTGCTCTCTTGTCATATTCATTGGAGATCCGATTCCAATCATTGACGCGATTTGGTTTCATTCGCCACTCATTGAGGGACCTCAAAATCTTTGCCCACTCCTCAGAATACTCAGAGGAACTGACCTCCTGCTGGGGGTCTGCAAGACTTCCTGACTTATACTGGTTTAGAATATATTTGATCTAAAGTTACATGCATGTGGATTAGAACTTCATAACTTAAGTGCCAACCATTGGCTCACCATTGTTAGCACATAACCGAATACCGGAAGACCTAGGTTTTGCAGTTTGGCTTCCAACTCAGCGCATGCCATAGGGAAATTCAGCTTGAGCTCCTTCAATGCAAAGGTATAGTCTAGAACTGCCATGATAGCCGGGTGCTCCAATGCACCAGATTGGGGCTAGACGTTGCCAGAACGTGAAAATTTGAGCAATACAAACAGGGATTCAGATTACATTACCAGGTGTCAGGGCATGCCTTCGGGTTGCTAGCGTAAGTAGCGCATTGCCACATGACCCGTATCTCCATCAACTTCTACTTCTTTTCTTCCTCTTCATCTCCGATCTGATCCGATCTGCGGCTGTCAGTTATGACGCCGCATGATCTTCTATCATTCTTGATCCGATACTACCGGTTATTAGCTAGTTGACGAGTTACCACCTCTACCGTGTATATATGACCATGTGCTGGGATGGGCATGTCCCCCAGCTTTGATATCAATTAGGTTTCTGGGGCATCCTTTGTTGCGAGCACGCACGACCCTGACACCGGGGTCCAAACTGTATGAGCGAAAGGCAAAATTTGAATTGGAGAGTGAGAGCCTGACAATCTCTTGGACAGTACTCCCATCTACACCAGGTCCCACTCCATAGAAGGAAGGAACTACATTCACAAGGTGTTTCTTGAGTTTAGACCTCCATGACTTAATGTCATGGGCAAGCTTGACTGGTGATAAGCATACTGCCAGTGGCAGGGTGCTCTGTGACCTGTATACGCCACATTCCTGAAGTCAGCTCCATGCTAGAGTACTAAAGGCTACTTGCTGTACGATACCTCTCCATTAGCAACAGAAACATCTGCTGTAGTGAACTCAAAAGTTGGAATTGCTAGTTCAGATGGAAGTGTAACTTAGCGTGAATGTAGATCACAAACTTGTGCCTATACAACTTATGGCCACTTGTGCCCAAATAGGGTGGCATCCAATTGAGTTGTGTGGATGGGGCGGCATTTTCGCCAGAGGATACCTCATTAAGATATTAGTCAAGCATGGGTCCCTGACAAAGAATAGATGTACCTTTGAGGCTGCAGGGCCTGGGGCAGCTACAGTGCCCTTATAGCGGTCATGGATGGTTGCGAGGAGAGCATGATATTGAGCCCAAGCAGTCTTCCACTGGCTGGGATTATCTTGTGTCAGGGCTGTCTGTGTTTCAGGTGACACCACTTCCCTGGTTGAAACCAGGTGTACTAAGGTTCCTTTGATATTTTGCAATGTTAAGGAAAGATAAGTGTTGCGCTCACCAGTACTCTCTGCAGCAGTTGGCTGTGCAGCATCAGGGTTGGAACTTGCCTCCTTAGCGGCAGCTTGCTTCGCGCGTCGAGTCTCCCAAGCCTTGACAGCAGCATTGCTCCTATTACTATGGCACACCTGCGATTGGGGTGGAGGCACAAGGGGATCTGCGACATTTTTGGGATCCCTCTTTTTTGTCTTAGAAATTCCAGCTGAGGAGCGTGTGCAGCTGCTCATGGTCCAAACTGAAAATCACTGAGTTCGAAATTGAAAGGAAGGGATGTGTGGACTTAAGCTAAATTTGATTCTCCCAACTTTATTGTAAATGGTTGCAAATTCAGTTAACGAAATGCTCGCAACCCCCCTGCTCATGGGAAGGGTTATGAACACTGCCCATGGTGTCTGAAGGTATGTCAGTGCAGGGGTGGTGGGCTGGTAAACCATTTGCATCGGAATGGTTTCTGTCGGAAAAAAATGTAGCATACCGCTCGACAAGCTCGTCAATATTGAAGACTCACCCCCAAGCCATCCCAGGATGCTTCTCAGTCTGAAAACAGCGACTCTCTTAGCTGCAATGAAACCCTCAGTGACACTCACTTTGGTGGAATAGATGAGAGTGATCAGGATGACATTACAGGTGGTGAACAAAGAAATTCCCCTGGACTTGGGGACGATCAGACATGCATTGAGAAGTCGCTCCCTGAACATGAAGATCTCCACGCTAATTTGACCAGGGTTGTGGACCCTTGCACTGGAAAAGTCCTCCCAGGTGAGGTGGAGACGCTCTGGGACAAGCTCGCCAGAAGCGAAGATGAAGGGAAACCTTATGCACCATTCCTGAGTAGGCAGGAGTGGGAATTGTGTCATTGGCTAAGCATGGAAGGCCTGTCGCAAGGTGCTAAGATTGCTTTCTAAAACTACAATGGGTATGTGAATACGATTTTCCACGGATTGGTTTAGCAAAAAATAGATTGTTACCTTCTGTGTCAGGTTAGCAAACATCCGAACCCTCCAAGCTGGCGTGATGCCTCAGAAATGCACAAGCGTTGAAGGAGAGAACGAAGGAAGGTCAGTTGGGAGGTTCAAACGAGACCACCACCAAGCTGTTCCCTGGTTCTTTAGTTAGGATGGGGAAGTGTACTAGTGTTATTTATTGTAAATATAGTACCAATCCGAGTGTTTTGGCTAATTCTATTTTTATGGGTTAGTTTTAAAGTTCCTGGGAATTGACTTACAGATAAACCGAGCCCTGCGGAGCTGTTTCTTTATTGAAATTTCTTAATTTGTCTAGGTGTAATTCTGTGTAGTGTTGTTTAATTTGGATTTAATCTTCTACTTGGTGAAGTTTCAAAGATTCTAATCAGTTAATGGATTTGGATTGTGTCTGGAGTGTCCCTTGAGTTTGTTTTATTTTTGTCTTATTTTATTGCTTGTTTTAACAGTAGCAAAATAACTGTTTTGTGTTTACACTTTGAAATCTGGAGTGTTAACCAGCTCTCCTCTTGAAATATCTACTTAATATTTCTCTCCTTTATTGCTGCCTTTTCCTACAGTGGCAATCTTAACTGTATATCACTTTTTCGCACTGGAGTGACAACCAGAAATGCTTGAGAAAAATAATACTCTATTTTCTTACTTCTCTGAGGGGGGCAAAAAGTCGCAGAAAGGGTCTCCCTTTTATACTCCTTGGGTCGCCTTCCTTTTTCACGCTCTACCTTCTATTTACAGGATTTATTTACAGTGTATTTTTCTCAAACTGAATAAAAAATGAAATTTTCACGCTATAGTTCTACTGCGCTGAACTGCAGTTCTACTGCGGTCAGACTGCGCCTAGAATCCTTATTGTCCTCCCTCGCCTAAGCTATTTTAATGGTTAATTAGAACTTGGCTGCGCTGCATTTGCCGCAGTTACCTATTTCAAATTCCCTTTAAATTTGCTATGACTCGATGATTCTGAATTCAAACTTCGCATTACTATGCGTACAGCTGTGCTGAGACCTTCAGCTGATTTATTCCATTTTTATTTAGTGACATTTAGTTAAAATGAGACTGAAATGGTAAATGAGTGAATTATTCAGGTTTAAAACTGAAAGAAAAAGTTGCTAGTAGTCAAGAATTACTCAAACGAATGTGTTATAGCTCTCCACCTCATTAGAATATCGTTCCCTAAAATTCCCGCCATGATCCGTTGTAGTTTAGTGGTTTTCATGAATTTCGTTCATATTCCCTGATTCCCCTTTGTATTATCACATCCTAATCCTCCATATGTATTGTTCGTTGTTATAGTAGGTCGTCTTTGAAGATATCATATTTTTATGTATTTTATTTAGGACTCTGGACCTCTTGAAGCTGTTTTCCCGCGCGTTTTCAGGTTTCTAACTTCATGTCCCTATATCTCATTCATTTCTGGATGTTTTCTCACGTTCTTGGTATCATAAATTTTCATTTATTCCCACCTTTCCAATGGTACTAAGGTTGTGTCCTATTTCCTGGTATTCGTTGAGTTAGCAAAAGTTCGCGCGCACATTCGGTAATCACGTGCATCATTCCCATAGTCGTTCGTTATGCGGGCACCATTTCCGTTTAATTGTTCGGGATTTATGATATGCACGGGTTTTTATTTCTTTCATATGGGCTTCTGTGATTTATTTCAGATTTTTCCCTCATGATCTAAGGTTGTTTTGCACTTTCCGTGCTTTGTTTTGACCGGGCTCTTCCTTATTTGGACGGAAATTGGTCTTCGCGATCTGCCAAAGTGCGGATCTTGGTTCCGACGGCCAGTTCCCTGTGCATCGCCACCCTCACATGTCATTACACATGATGCGGATTTCTATATTCCCGTCATGGGTATAACTTCACAACGGCTGGACCGTTTGGGCTGAAAATTTGCATAACTATAGTTCCCCATTTTTAATAATTTCCGTGTAAATTTCGTTGTATGTTTTAATTATGGATCCTACGCAAACATCGTCTTTTCCCTGAGCTCGGACTTTTGTTGTCACTATTCCCGTTATTGGATATCTCATTAACGCATGATCCTTTTATTATGAAAATCTGGGAGGATTAAGATTAGATCCCTTCCTTTCTAATGGCCTATCAAGCTTGTCTCGGTCGTTACTGGTTAATTTTTGCGCTTGCCTTTTAGATATTGTCCTCGTTTTGCAGGAGTTTTAGTCATATCTCCGTCGTTTATGGGTAGTTTCCCCTGTAATTACTCTCATTGGGTCCGTTTGGGAGACATCTCCATTCCCTATTATAAACACGACTTTGAATTTTGCATTAGTTCCTGAGGAATCCTTGTTCCGTGGTACTTCCATCCTTGGCTACGTGTGCGGACGTGGGAAAGTAGTTTCCATGGAGGTTCTCTGATTGTTTTTATAGTCAAATCTTGGTCGATTGTCTTAATTCTTGTTTTAATATTTGCTATAAATTCCCCCGGGAATTCCGTCTCGTTGATGGTAAGCTTGAAGTATTTTTGCTATTTTTCTTTCTTTCGATTTATTGTGTATAGTCATAATAATTCGTAAAAATTCGTAAAAATTCGTAAAAATTCGTGTCCTTCAGTTTTCTTATATCTACTTGTCGTATGAGGTTTTGTGATTTATCTGGCATATTTCCATAATGGGTTTCCATAGTGTGACCGTTATTTCTCCTACAACGCGCGGATATGCGGGCGGGAATATGCAGTGCATCCAGAAGCGCTGTTCAAGGTTAGCAGAGTGGGATCGTGGCCTCAGCAACTCAAGTGGAGCACTGTGCCCTGAGCTTGATGTTTGGGGGAGATCCCATATTTACAGATTGACACTTACAGCAGACTTCAAACAAGACTTGCAAGCGGAGCGGACCTGTAGGAGGAGTGTGGACTCCGCAAGCACGGACTCAGAGGGGGGGAAGCCCCCTTTGCAGAAGGAGGGACTCAGACCAGAATGGGGGGGTACTCTAGTTGATTTCAGACTGAGGTCCCTGAAAGTATTTACAGGATATAAATAGGCAGGAGGGAACACAGAAGGGCCGGTCAGTCTGGCACGGTCCAGCACGGAAATAAGCAGGGATTGTCAAACTGAATGAAGGACAAGAGCCCGGGAAATGGGAGGCAATGAACTAAAACAAAAGCGGATCAAGTGCCAATATTGACAGGTAATAAGAAGTGCATCAGCACATGGATCAAGTGCCAATATTGGCAAGTTAAGCAAATGAATGGATGAACAATATAGGCACTCGGAAAGGAATGAATGGTGTGCTGCTGAGTGACAAAGATGGCCAGAGGACAAAAGCGGAGGTCAGCACGCGGTGTTAAAGAAATGGGTTGAGGGTAACCCACATCTTTCCGTCCTTATAGACGACTTAGAATCGTCCACCTCATGTATGTAGGGTGGTTTAGTCATGCAATTAGAATTATCCGATGGCCGTGGAGCTTTTGACAGAAAGCTGAGACCTCGCGGTGAACGGGAGCCTGCTACGACGGATACTTGGCGCTCGTTACATGAGCGTACCGTGCGCGGGTGTATAGGATCACAGGTTGAGAGAACGTCCTGAACGAGACTAGTCGAGGACATAGGGCTAGCGGGTACTTGGCGCTCGAGGGAGCATACCGGTAGCGAGTGAGATAATGACTCCTTGAGGGAGCTTCCTGAGAATCAATTGACAGGTACTTGGCACCCAATTGGGTGTACCGGCAACAAGTGATGTTCCAGCTCCTTGAGGGAGCTGCCAGAGGCTAGGTTGACGGATACTTGGCGCCCAGTTGGGTGTACCGGCAACGAGGTATGAGACTGTTCATCTGGCAGACGGTCTGTATATGTGTCAACGGATACTTGGCGCTCGTAAGAGCGTACCGGTGACAGAGGAGTTAGTCGTTTGTAGGTCGAACGACACATGGTGGGTTCGACGGCTACTTGGCACTTGCGAGAGCGTACCGGCGATGAAGGGAGTGGGCTTGTATCGAATACCCATACATCTGTAGAGTTAACCAGATGCTCACCATAAGGTGAGACAGACGTGGGCCCAGTACCTGGGCGAACGACATGAGTCGCAGCAAAAGGTGATCGCGCATACCTGAGTTGAGTCACGCGCGAACTCGATGATCCGTGGCTAGAGTCGTCAACCTCAGCAGGGATGACCCATATAGACGATGACCGAGACATACACAATCTTGCACAAGGAGGTTTACAGTTGTTGCACAGCAGAGGGTGGTGTGTTATTCGTTAGGTTCCATCTTTTCGGCTCTTGCCATACATAAACATGACGCTAACTATTGAATAAGAAATGATCGTGAGAAGTCTCGCGAAATAGAATAAATATTCCGGCCAGCACCAAAACCCGATAAGGGAAAGCTTAGCGCGGAGTGAACATGTAGAAAGGGGGGTAGCGGGGAGAAGGTAACAAAGAGAAGGGAAGATATGGAGAAGGAGGACCCGCCATGGTGGATGTTCAGTCGACATGGTCGCGAGAGACTCCATTCCTGTAACACACGGCGCCGATACAGGTCTGCAAATAAGCAGGGTCGGAGCGGTGCCAACACAGGTCCACGAACAGAGGTTGATCTGTCAGTACTGTCACACAAGGACAGCATGAAGGCCAACAGAGGTACAGACGGGAGTGGGAGTGTTGACCTGACCAGAGGTGTCAAGGGCAACCAGAAGTGGGCAGAGGGTGCAGAATGCACGGAAGCGGGGCATGGCTGTGACCACATAGTGGGAAGCAATGAGTGTGGTTCAGATGGAGACAAGGCAGGCATAGGAACTGGAGGGACTGAATGCCGGGAGTGCCAAGGGCTCGGGAACTGGAGGTAAGGTCGGAATACCGGCAGGGTCTAGGTTCTGATTATTGGCCAAGTCTCCTGCAATAAGGCAGGGGGCCAGACAGTGGGTTGGGGGCTGGTTAGGATGGGTTTCGGGTCAGTGGATTCACCTATCAGCATTAGTTTGCCTATCAGCACTGATTTGCTGCTGATGGAGCCCCTGTCAGAGTCGGGATTATTGTCGGAGACTGGGATATTGTCGGTGTCGGAGATTGTGGCAGAGGTCTGTTGGAGCGCGCACGCACGGATATGCGGGCGGAAATATGCGGCGCGTCCGGAAGCGCTGTTCAAGGTTAGCAGAGTGGGATCGCGGCCTCAGCGACTCAGGTGGAGCGCTGTGCCCTGAGCTTGACGTTTGGGGGAGATCCCGTATTTACAAACTGACACTTACAGCGGACTTCAAACCAGACTTGCGGGCGGAGCGGACCTATAGGAGGAGCACGGACTCCGCGAGCACGGACTCAGAGGGGGGGAAGCCCCCTTTGCAAAAGGAGAGACTCAGAACAGACAGGGGGGGTACTCTAGTTGATTTCAGACTGGGGTCCCCGAAAGTATTTACAAGGTATATAAATAGGCAAGAGGAAATATAGAAAGGCTGGTCAGTCCGGCGCGGTCCGGCACGGAGATAAGCGGGGATTGTCAAACTAAATAAGGACAAGAGCCCGGGAACTGGAAACAAGGAACAGATCAATAAACAATAAGTGGCAAGGGTTATTGATGAATAACTGAATGAGATCAATAACCTAGTGCCAATAAAGAGGGGATCAAATGCCGATATTGGCAGGGAAGCAAACAATAGATGGCACTCGGCAAGGAATGAATGATAAGCTGCCAAGTGACAAATGACCAGAGGAAAAGCGGAGGTCAGCGCGCGGCGCCGATACAAGTCCGCAAATAAGCGGGGTCGGTGCGGTGCCGACACAAGTCCGCGAACAGAGGTTGATCTGCCAGCACTGTCACACAAGGACAGCATGAAGGCCAACAGAGGTACAGAGGTGGGCAGAGGGTGCGGAGTGGGCAGAGGGTGCGGAATGCACGGAAGCGGGGCATGGCTGTGACCACATAGCGGGAAGCGATGAGTGTGGTTCAGATGGAGACAAGGCAGGCGTGACTGAATGCCGGGAGCGCCAAGGGCTCAGGAACTGGAGGTGAGGTCGGAATACCGGCAGGGTCTAGGTTCTGATTCTTGGCCAAGTCTCACACAATAAGGCAGGGGGCCAGACATGGGGTTGGGGGCTGGTTAGGATGGGTTTCGGGTCGGCGGATTCGCCTATCGGCATTGGTTCGCCGCTGACGGAGCCCCGGGATTTGTCGGTCGTGACAGCCCCGGGATTTGTCAGTTGTGACAGGATCCCTATAATGATATGTGAACCATTTAGTCATTGCTCAAACAGGGGGCTACAATCCTTGGCATGATCCTAGCATCAGATCGGATGCACCTCACAAACTTTACCGGTGACAAGAAGATGCACGCCATCTATATATCACTAGGAAATATCTCCAAAGATGTTAGGAAAAAGCGAAATGCCCATGCATGGTTACTCCTTGCCAAAATACCGATTTCTAAGTTTTCCAAAACTCACTTTACTGGAAGCAAGACAGAGCGAGAATCCATGCCTGGGATTCTTTCCCACCATCTGTTTCACCAGTGCATGAAACTGGTACTTGCACCGTTGAGGGTAGATTGAAGGATGTATGAAATCGTGCCATCGCCTGATGGGAGACTTCGAGTGTGTTTGGCCATCTTGATGGCATGGATTGCTGACTTGGAGGAGCAGCTGCTTATTGCTGGGGTACAGAATTTCAGTTGCCCAGTATGTTCTGCTGTATTTGAGGATCTGGAACGACATGAGTGTTTCAGCCTCCATACAGGGGAGATGATCATTTTGGCACTCAGAAACGTCCGTGCGAAATTCCCTTCTGCTTCCATCTATGAGTTCAGACAAGAAGTCAAGAAGCTCAGGCTAGGACTATCTGGTACAATTGAGGACCCATGCTGGGAAGGTCTCGGGGTAGACCCATATGTTTTCATCAAACAGGATATCCTACATGGGATACACAAGTTTGTCTGGGACCATCCTGGTGAATGGCTCAAAAAGTTGCTTGGTGCTGACGAACTTGACTGACGTTTCATGACCCAGCCTCCACTTCACTATCGCATCTTCACTGGAGGGGTATCGAAAATTTCACAGGCATCTGGGCAGGAGCACCGGACATATCAACGATCCATATTACTGGTGATTGTTGGCCACAAAAACATTGATAACAAAGTCATTTGTTCAACCCAATCCATTCTGGACTTCGCCTATATGGCACAATATCCCTCACTCTCAGCAGCCCATCTTGACAAGATGAAGGACCTACTTTCTACGTTCCACCACAACAAGGATGTTTTTATCCACAGAGGAGCATGCAAGGCATCACATTTTCGAATACCCAAATTACACGGATTGCAACACTTCGTCGATGATGTCATTGTAGGAGGACCACCTGATAACTTCTCCACAGAAACCCCTGAATCTCTGCATATAGAAATGTGCAAAGATCCCTACCGTGCCACTAACCGCCATGAATATGATGAACAGATTATCAACTACTTGGAAATTCATGATCGGTTAGCTTTGCAGCGATCATACGAGGCATTCCGGACCAGAAGCCAAACATACCTTGTGAGTGGTGGCTTAGTCTGTCATTGTCGATTTTAACGATCCTCATTGATAGAATTCTACAACCCAAACCCAAGTTATCACAGCAGACAAAACTGTTATTCAACAGAACAATGCAAGCCCATCCCCCAATCCAGCCATCATTAGTACCCCTGTTGGGCTCGGTGTTAGTAACACTCAGCATCAAGATCACAAAAGAACCCCATTACCATGCTTGTCCTGTCAATCAGCTCATGGAATTGCATGGCATCCCAGATCTGGTTTCATCAATATGCTGAATGCTGGATTTAAATGGCTATGATGGATCATCACCTGGTGGATGGTGAGAGTATGGAATTGAGGGACTCCCCAAAGAGTATCACTTCGTCGATATGTGGGACCACTTCCGACTCACTATACCTCCCTGCAACAAATTCTCTGAAGAAGAATCCGTGAGGATCAGTTGCAAAGCAAAAAGTAGAACTCAGAGCCGTTCTCTGTTCTTGCCAGTCTTGGTCGAGATGAATACATCAGATGGGTTACACCGTGAGTTGTCCTTATTTCCTCACCCAATTGACATGAGACCTTACATGGTTCTTCATACCACAGCTTCCCAGGATACCGTCCAGCAGAGCTCCATCTTGTATTTCACTGTCGAATCGATAAGCGGTACCACGATCCTGATGGCAGGCTGCTTGCGCATGTGCTCTGGTATACCCCTATCCCCATGCGACCTAGCGGAGACACTGAGATGTATCAGGTCACTCAAGAATTTGACATGTAAGGATGTTGAAAGGCTGGTGTGATTGACCTTTCTCGCATTAAAGGTATATGTTCACTTGCGCTTGTATTTGAGGAACAGTGTGATATGACCACAGCCTCTGAGACCTGTTTCAAGAAGATCTACCACATCAACCCCTACTCCAGTCACTCTTTCTTTCGTCGTTTCCAATGGTCAGCCTTATCCCATTGACAACTTGAATTCGCGTGTGTTATCGCTGGCCTCCACATGATCCTTCCATGGACTCCCGCAGGACTTTCATGCCTTTACCCATACCCCTCCTCATGACCTCATCGCAGATAATGCAAACTTCCACCATCCAAGCCACTGCTTGCCTGCTCATTTTCAAAACAGCCACCACCTATCATCCTCGTTTTCAATCTTTCACTTGATTTGTAACCATGATCCCAATGAAGACAATTCCTTTGGCTGACTCGAGTGGTAACTGGAGTGAAAGAGAAGAGAACACATTAGGGCGTTTCACGGTTGACTGAAGTCAGCTGAATTGCATCTGAAGTGAAATTCCTAAAGTGACACATGAGTGACAAAACTCGATCTTAACTTGTTCTAAACTGATGACTTTGACTTGGGGCTCAAGTCCCCCAACTGGCCTAAAGTCGATTTTCTAAAGTCAGTCTAAATTTGGCCTTATACATAAGTCCGCAAATCTTGCTGTACAGTTCTCTGCTTTAGGTCACCTGTCCCTTTGCACGTTTTCCCTCACCCCTCATCACCCCACCCCATCACCGTCACCACCATCTCGCTTCCCAAACCATGCCAGCCAAACGAAAAAACCCTAAGGGTTCAGTCCCTCAGCTATGATCAGGGTACCGCTCATGTACAACAACGGACAACGAGTCTGCCAGTGCCACCCCACCCATGGTTGCCCTCAAGGCTGAAATTAAGTCTGAGCCTCGCACTCCAAAGGTTCAATGGGACACCAATGAACGCTGGACAGAGCGCCTAATTGAATATCTCACAAACCACCTTGATGTTCGACTGAAAATGTTCAGTATTCTGTCAAGGATGCAAGGAAGGAGTCGCAGAAAAAGGTGAGCATCTAATATGATGCCTTTCAACTCTCACCACTCACTATCACCTAGGTTGTCGGTAGCAAACCCAAAGTTGAATATTACCGTGAGATAGCAAAGGCTGTCTTTGATGTCGAAGGGGAACCGGATTGTGGCGCTTATTTAATGGAACCTGAGCGCTATGCAACCTCTGTCTTAGGTCAGATCACTTAGTAAGTTTATTAGTTGCTGAGGTCACTGTAGCTCATCTAGTATTCTCCCAATTGTAGTTTACAGAAGACATACACCGGATATCGCAAAATGCTACAGCAGACCGGTGAGGGTCTCAAAGATGAGGATGAGGATAAGAATGAAATGCACAGAAACCAGCTAGGTAGCATACATGTCAATTACTTGGTACACTGCTTATTTTCTCATTTTTGAAGAGATGATTTGTGCATCTTTCCCGTGGTGGAACACACTGCAGGATGGTGGTCAGAGCATCCAAAATATGCATTCCAGATGGTAACAAACTCAACAAGCGGCACTGGGAAGATGGTAAGTGTCAGAGACCAGATTTTAAGACGAAGGAATGTCTCCGTAACGGAGGGCTTTGGCCTCAGCGACTTCTGCCAGGAGCGCTGTGCCTAGTGACACGTCCGTGCCCTAACTTACTGACTGGCACTTAGAACCTAGTGGGGGTAACTCTAGTTGATTTATCTGCTGGGGCGTAACCTATGTACAAGTAGTGTATATATATGGTTACAGCGGAGACGGTTCCGCAATTGGCGGAGCCGGACGGAGCGGAGCTAACGGGGTTAAGACATTAGCCGACTGAATATTACCGACGAGTCGGTTCGCGGGGTTAGCGGAAAGGCAGGCGTTAACCCAGAAACGGAAAGGAGGGATAAGCCCGAAGGTGGACTCTGCAGGGCAGGCGAGTGTATTGCCCAGCGGAGGCGGGAGTGCGCTAGCGGACGTCGGAGCTGTCCGGAAGTCTTCGGGGCTCCGTACTTAGGGAGGCGTAGGCAATAAATTGAAATGAAGGGGTGGTGGTCATCGAGGGGCACCGGGAGGTTTGCGGAATACGGGGGCTCCGAGGTTGGTGAGGGGGGAGCGGAGTTAGAACGGAGGGGTCGGAGAGCCCGGAAGTCGATGGCCGGGAATGGATATGACAGTAAGTGATTTTGAACAAGCCATCTTTGTGCCTCCAGAGCAAGTTGCTGCACCCATTGAGACCAATACCTCCCATCCACCTTCACCACCAGCCATCGTAAATGCACCGCTTTCCCATGTCAACTCACCAATTTCTTGGGCTGAACCACCACCTCAGGTTGACATGGGACTTCTTAATACGGACACCACCCTTTTTCGCATGGAGTCACCCACTGGTTTTCCACTCTCCCTTCCAGACTCACAGCTCCCTGATGTCAAGCCAGGGATTAATGCAGAAGACTCAAGTGTGTCTTCATCTCATACACTGGCAAGGTCAACCCCAGGGCCTGCCACACTCAAGTCCAAGGTTGACTTGACGCTCACGGCTTCATGCACATCAGGGTCAAAGGGCTGCAAAGATTTTATTGCCGATTTCCATGAGGCAGCACGGGTTGATCAGGTTCAAGCTCAACAAGAGGCTGAATACCATCATGTACAGCAGATGGCACGGCTTGAGCTCAAGAGAGAAAAGATGCACCGTAAATTTGAAATTGAGTCGCTCAGGCTTCAGTTACAACTTGTGCAGGTCCAGTCACAGCCACAGCAGCAGCAACGGCAACAACAGCATGATCCCACATTTGATTTTGGGAGTCTCAATTTTTAGATTTCTTATGCTCAGTGTGAAAAAATTTGTCTTCATACTCATACACATGTAGTACAAATATTTGAATATGAAAATTTTAGTAGAGAGCATCGAAAAGAGCTGCCTGTACAAGACGGTGCTTCCGGTGCCCTTCCGATTCTCGGGGCAGTGACGACCCTGCTCCACCCCAGGTGAAACCTGCAACTGGTTCATCATCCTCGCTATCATCTTCACCACTCCTGCCCTCCTCAACCCATTCCCAGAAATCACTTTCATACTCCTCATCTTCAACACGTGCTGCAAAAGAGTGGATGATCAAACATGTGCGGACCCATGCAAGCGAAAGTACATAATTGTGCTCTGAATTGATCTGTTGACGGAGTCCGCAAAGTGACTGGAAGTGACCTTTGAGGTACCCCACAGCATGTTCTGACCTTATGTGCACCTGTAAAAAAGGACATTTAAATCATAAATAATCATGAGAGGTCTTGGAAATAACTCACCATAGATAAATGATAGTTGAATTGGCGGTTTGATGCTGCAAGTGATTGTAGTCGTGCATACTGCCAGGGGGGCCAAGCACATAGTCGATGATGCATAGGTTTGGTAATGTTACAAGCTAAAAGGATATTAATACCGGTGTTCCACATATATAAAAAAATTGATAGTAATCCACATACCGTAAGTCTGAGAGAATAGTTGGACTTCTGGTCAAAAAACTGCTCCCCAAAATGTCCTGGCTTGGATGCGAGAGGGAGAAGAGTACCATCCACCATACAAAAACCCGGCCTCCATGCGTGACAAGACACACTCTCCACCCAGTCTGATGCCTCCCGCTTCTCAGCTGCATTTGGCCATCGAATGGCCTGGTTATGCAGCGGCAAAAAGGCCATGATAACACAACGTGTGGCCTTGACAACCATGCCTGCACTGCAGCCTGCCCACTGTGCAACGGCATCAACAGACGCTGCATTGCCGAAATGGCCGAACCGATAGAGAGCAATTGCGAGCTGGAAATCAACAGGCCACTGGTCATTCCTGGAGCTGTTTTGGAAACATGGGTGGGCCTGGATGAGGGAGATGAGGATGTTGAATGTGTGAGGTGAGACATGTAGATTTTGATGGAAGTGGGGGGGGTCATCTTCTTTATAGCACAAAAGAATAAGCGCTAACTGGCTGCATTTCGGGACATCATGTGGAAAAAGGACTCGGGTGGAAAGGAGAGTGGAGAGGAAAAGTTGCACCCAAAACATGGACCGCCTGAATGAGCGATGTAGGGACTGCAGCACTTGGTTGCATTCAGCAACCAATGACAAGTTGGATGGCTGGGAGATGTTGCCGGTGTTACCATTGCCAGTGTCAGTGTTGTTGTCGCTGCTGCTGCTGCTGCTGCTGCTGCTGCTGTTGGTCATTGTTGATGTGGAGGTTGAACTGGTATCCGGGTTACTAGTGTTGTCAGAGGATGTGCTGGAGTTAACAGAGTCGGTACCCTTTAGTCTGAGAGTTCGGCATTGTTGATAGTAATGTGCACGGAGCCGGTGGGCATGCTGGATGGTAGAATGGATGAGTCGCTTGCGATCAGAAGGAATGGGCATTAGAGTGGCTAATTACATAATAGGAACATAGAGGATATGGGTGACAGACTTACCCAACCCACTTTGGATGCACTTTAGAGGCTTGTACTGTGAACGCCCAACTGGAGCATCTAAACTGGACCCAAAGTCGCTCTAAACTTGGGTTGCATGTGAGTCAAATTTTGTCCATTTTAGATCCAATTCATAATCCAGTTTAGACCCACTTCAGCGAACTGTGAAACTCCCTACTGAGCACTGTTGGAACAAGATGGGAGCCAGATAAATAATGAGTTATTTCCCAACTACCTCGATGACGTGCAGTAACCTTTAATTATTGATCCAACCCTAGAATGATGTCATGTTGCCACTGCCCTCCTCCGGCGTTGAGGTTGAGTTGGCAGTGGCCTGCATGACATACACTCGATGTTGAGCTAATGGGTAGAACCCCATACCTAATGGGAAATTTAGTCCTGAACCTGTCCCCTCTGGAGTGTTTAACTGAGTGAACCTGGCATGTAAGGACTTATGATGTGTACCCACACATTGTCTGTCCTTTCCATACTTCACATCAAGTGCAACTGCAGTCGCACTTCAGTAACATAAACAACTTGTATAATACTAAGCCACATTACATCATGTAAATATGTCATATCCGTGCATATCCGATCCCGACCCGACTCCCAGACCTCCTTCTTCACCACCTCCGGAGTCTTACCCTACCGCTGTCTGTTCCGATATTCACCTTCAGTCCTGACACCACACCACCTCTCACCCCCCATGCCACCTCCACTCCTCCGTCCCTCTCCTGTCCTATCTCCGTCCGCTCCGATACTCACCTTGGACCGAACACCACTCCTCTCACCACCCTCCTCCTACTCCTCCTCCCACTCCTCCACTCCCTCCTCACAACACCTCCACCCTTCCATTGTAACGGGTCTATCACCTAGACTTGAGACAGGGAAAGGGGGGAGGGTGGTAGTGAATGTGTGTGTGATGGAGGTTCGGGTTTTTGGGTCCTGGGGCGCTAGCGGGTCTGTTAGAGCCTCAACTCAACACTCACCTACATCTCTCTTGGACGTCAAGGCCGAGGGTTATGAGGAAAGGGGTCTCAGATGTAAGCAAGTAACTCAGGGGAGGCGTTAGAGTCGTGGATGGCGTCTTTGCCACTTGGATGCAACTTCTGCTTTCTCTTTCACGGGTCTATTCAATACTAACTTGTTATGTACAAGCTATTATCTAGTTTATATGAGTTGGAAATGGAATGAATGGAGTGGGGGAATGTAAACGGGCCGTTAGGCAACCGTAAATGATAAATATCCAATTGGGAACAAAGAAACAATAAAAGAAATATGAATGAATGGGGAAAATGTGACAACGGGTCCGAAATGGGAATTGTGAAGGTTAACTCCGCAACACTTCGCCGCAGCGCCCGCCTATCCTCCCGTCAGCAACCTCCTCGCCTCCAGCTTTCCAACGAGCCCTCATTCATCCCAATTGGTGCAGTACTTCTTGAGATGTGGCCATTGACAGGTGCTGTCAAGACCATGTGAGACTATACTCCGTGCTGAACCATCCGGGTATGGGATTGCCATTCTGGGAAATGCTCCGGGGGTGAAGAAGGATGGTAGAGCATCACTATCGGGTAGAAAAACGGCTGGGTTGTATGTGTGGTTATGGAGATCTGGAGAGGGGGTGAAATTGGCGGCATGGTTGGGCGTGGGAATTTGGCTTGGGGCTGTCGGGAATGATGGGGAAAATAAGGAAAAATAAGGAGTGAGTGTCAGGAGTGTTGGACAGTGATAGAATGAGCATCGGGAGTGTCAGCGGGTATGTAGTGGGTGTTTGTGGCCAAATTCCACAGAATCCGACTTTTTGCAGTACATGGAGTTGTCCCCACAACACCGTCATCCTCCTACTCTTCTCCCGTCCGCTCCAATACTCACCTTCGGACCTGACAACTCTCCTTTCCGCCACTCTTCCCTCTTTCCTCCCTCTTCCCTCTGGTCCTCTTCCGCCGACCTCCCGCCAAGTTACGACCTTCCACCGCTGTCCTGTACCTCGTACTCGGACAC